ATGTCTGACGAAATCTCAGCTGAGTACGGATACACAGGGCTAGTTTCACATACGCCAGCCAGTTTACGCTGTCTCTGGCTTAGTAGACATGATATCCGACTGGCTATCGACCAAAGGGCGGGTGTACTGCTCATCAGTCCGCTCCGTCCTCCTTTATGGCTAGCTGTGAGACCTGGCCATTGAGAATGGAAGACATGAAAAGCGTGGCTAGCTGTCTTCGATCATAGGTGCCTGAGCTCTATCTCCCGTGTGAAGTGGCATAACAAAGTGAACAATATTGAGGTTAGGCATCGGTCGAGTGTTAGGTAGGCAGGGGAAATCAATCGACGAGGCTGTCAAGCCACATCGACTGAGATGGTTAGGACGTGTGTTACGCATGCATGCCTAGTCATCGCGCAGATGCATCCACTCCGTGTGACTTATGATTTCCAATGAAACTGTTTTGTTCTTCGTTACTTCTGTTCCTTTGTCTCAGACCTCTGTTTACTGTCTCTATTATTTATTTCTTGTACTTAGCTTAGTAGGTGTCGTAACCTAATTTCTTTTGTTCTGGAGAGGAACAAAGTTGTGAAAATGTTTATAAACTTTTCGTATCCATATGCTTTTTTTAATATGCAAATTTGCTTTTATACTTCCATCTGGTTTTCAGTCAAAAAGCTGTTGAATGATTACGTGGAGAGGTCTTTGATTTTTTTTTCTTGTTCCAAGTTCAATAACAACACTATCAACTCGTTCACTTTTGGTTTACTCAAAGAGTGTTCATATGAGAGATAAGTGTGAATTAGTTGTGTTCTCTCTCAGTTGAGCTGAGCTGGTGGTTGATGATCTGATTGCTATGCTTTCGCCGTCCCTCATTTAAACAACAACACCCCACCCCGCATTCAGCGCAGCTTTTAGCATAAAATGAATGATGATATTATTGTATCTCTTCGCCTGGCAACCATTGTTGTGATTGGTTGTCAGTTTACATTGATCGCAATTTTACTGACTTGGAATGTGAACTTTCTTATCATGTCATGTGATCAGTTACTTTTCATATTAGTTGGTAAATTAGTTGGACTGTAGTAATTAATATCGTTGGCTGGTTCACTTGAGCGTACACACGCACAGGCTTCTAGGAATTCTCTAACTGTATGTCTGGTGTTTCCGCTATATTAGAATTTCTATATTATCCCGTCGATCAAATTTCTGTCCATAATTATCTACATGCATTGATATAATCAATGAATATATGCATGATGTCTTTTTACAGCCAATTTGTGTTCTTCTCTCCGGATTAGATGGGGACACCCACTTTGATCGATGAAATGTTTATTATAGTCCATGAATGCAATGCATTTACATGAAACAACACACAGTAATGATGCGGTTGCATTGATAACAAATTGGCTGACTTTTCGAGCACAATATATTGCTGCTCATATATAATCATATCAAAATATTATTTACACGACTTCATAATTCGCTTCACATAATTAATATTAATGGTAATAGCAGCTTTATTTTGGACTGTCACACAACGAAAGCAGAAATCCTGAATGTCATAAAAATGCTAAAAGTTGGAAAAGCAGCAGGACCAGATGGAATTCCCTCAGAAGTATTGAAAATGAACCTCAAGACATCAGTGGACTTAATGACATCACAACTGAAGGTGCGGATAAACGGCAAGGTTTCCTATAGATTAGAAGAAAGACTACTTATTCAAAATGCTAAAGAAAGGAGACTTAAGTCAATGCAAGAACTGACGCAGCATTATGCTCCTGTCCATCTCATGCAAAATACTAAACCCTGGATGAAAAATTTCGACTGGAACAGGCTGGATTCAGGAGAAATAAATCATCCATCGATCTATCATTGATATAAGAATAAAACTTGTGTACTATGGTAGAGTATAATTCCACTACGGGTGAAATTTGTTCTGATAAAGTCTCACAGTGTTATACAGTAATGTTTACAGCAATGATCAATAAACATTACTGTATAACACTGAGACTTTATCAAAACAAATTTCACCCATAATGGAGTTATGCATCAATCTTATTGCAACACTAGGGATCGCCATTGACCAGAGCTTGGAATGGCAGTCAAACCTCTATCTCTACCTCTACTTCGTTGACTTTGAAAAGGTCTTCGACAGCGTCGATCGAGAGGTGGCGATTTTGTAACTACTTTGCATCTACTACGGGGGGAGTCGCCAACAATTATACACCTCAGCCATTCAACAGTTGTACGATAATGCTTCGTGCCAAGTAATCCACAATCGGAAACTCACGGAATCTTTCTATAAGTGAAGATGGGAGTAAGACAAGGCTGCCTAATATCTCCAATAATTTTTCTGATTGTGGTAGACTGGATAATGCTACAGACACACAGAAGGCAACGAGGAGACTGGCGTAAAATGGACCTCGACAAAAAATTGAAGGATCCGGACTTCACTGGTAATGTATGTCGGATCTCCCACAAACTGGAAGATATGCAAGTGAAAAGCAACAAGTTGGTAAAAGAAGCATCCACACAAAATAAGCCTTCAGGTGACCATAGAAAAAATAGATGTAATGATGGTGGAGATTCCTGGCCAACTGCAACAGCAACAGACAACAATCAGCATAAGTGAGAGGAATCTAAAAGAATCCACCTCTTTACCTACCTGTGAATCATCGTTTCAACTACAGGCGAACGGAAACTTGCACTGCGCCTGTACGTCACGAAAAGGAATTTTCAACAACCTGCTGTGGACTTTCATCAACAGCTGCCCTCTTCACCAGCTCCATACTGAAGATCAAATGGCCAGAGAGAATTAGTAACAAGGAACTCTGCAGTGGAATAAACCACACAGGCAAGAGCTGATCGCTTAACAAATATATAATAGAAAATGGAGATGGATTGATCGGGCATACATTGAGGAAACCATCGGATGACATCGCATTCAATACAGGCAGGCCACTGCCCGAGTGGAATCCAAATGGTAAGCGACTAGTGGGTGGTCGGTGTGTGAGGGTGACATGGAGTAGATAGTGTGAAAAAGAGATGAGCGATTATGGGCGATCGTGGAGCCGGCTGAAGAGGACAGCAGAAAATAGAACAAAGTGGAGACGTGTTGTTGAAGTCGGCCCTATTTTCCACTGGGAACCCAAGAGAATAAAAATTATTATTATCATTATTATTAGAGTATGTCGGTTTTTGTAAATGCTAATATCTAACCCAGTATCTTGTTTTCGTTTTACTTTACAGTCTAGCATGGCCACCAACTCACATTGTTCGTTTTCTGTCCATAAACTCGATAGTAGATAGAACATTTAAATATTGACAAATTTTTCAAGTTTCACTAACTGAGGTGTTGTTCTTTACGGAGTGGGATTGTTGTTAGCCTCCTGTTCAACTTTCCCTATTTTTACTGGGCTTACTACCGGCTAAATTAAGTGTAAGGGTAGTCCACTGGTGATTGGGGATTGAACCCCGGATCAAGTGGGTGTAGTGGTTTACTAGCATTCAACCACTGAACCTCTGACACACACACAAACACACAAGATGTAGATTGAAGTGTGATGTAGTTTTTTTTCAATCTCACAGATTCAACTGGTGAACAAAAATAAATAAATATTGCCTTCATGAATAATCCCCATCTGGATAGTAATGAAGCGAAAAATCTCTTTTCGGTGAATTCATTCACTCTTATCTATTCGTCCATTGACAATTGTACAAACGATACGTAGATGGCATTTTCATCGTTTATGACAACAGTTATGACCAAAATCAGTTGCTACAAATATTCAACAACTGTTATCTGGTAATAAAATTCACTCTAGGAATAGAATACGAACTTAAAATTCCCTTTCTTAATGCGCAACTAATAAGACGACCTGACTAAACCTTGAGAAGGTCAATCCATAGAAAACCCATTTGGAATAGTCAACTCACAAACTTCTACAGCTGGATGCCTATTTAGCTGAAACGAAATCTGATTAAATCCCTTGCCATTCCGATCAGATTCATCTGCAGTCCTGAGACTCTGGAAGAAGAAGAATTGGATCTTCTGAAATAAAGCTTGACACAAAATGGATACCCGCCAAGATCCATCAGCAAAAATATCAAACCTAAGGTCAAGCGGAACGAAACACTACTTGTCTTAAAAAAAACGCTTTACATGAATCTGGATTTCAAGGGAGACTTAGCTTGCAATATCATCAAGAGAAAGCATGGCTACAAATAGGTAATAGTGACTGTATGAGGAGTACGATAATTAAACACACCGTCAACAACACTGGTCCATTCCATCGCAGCAGATACCCCTGCTTCAGAGTAATCTACAGAGTTAAGAATAACCTATCAGAGGCAATACGCTTTCGTCTCTCCTTGGTATTGTTGTGTAGCTTTAGCCACTCACTCGGAGAAACTAGAGTTATGTATGCAAAAGAAAATCATCCAACCAACCACTTATACTTTCATGATAACAACCGTGTTGACTTCTACTGACTTCATGTTTTTGTGCTTGATTTTTTTCTAAATCCTTTTAAAATTTGTAATTTTCAAAACTCTTACATAATTCCATATTTTTTTTTGTTTCTGTATACATCGTAGCCACAACTCACTCACTAAATTATTCAGCTTATTAAGTAACTGTACTACTCTTATTCAACTTCTCTTTTGCATTGATTGACAGTGACAACTATGTTTTTTTGACAACATATCAACGCCACCATCTTACCAATCTTCACTCCCCCTCCGTCTAATTACAATTTGATTACTCATCACATTTTTGAAATGCCTTGACAATAATAACCCTGACTTATTTTTATTCTTATCGGACCACCCTAATGTACACACACGCACATGCATACAAAAATAAGTACATATAACTCCGATTGTACAGCTCCAGTAAGTGAATGAATCCGCCGCGGAAAAGAGACATTTCGCTGAACACTACGTGTTTTGTTTTCAAGAATTGTTTTCGCCTGTGAAACTACTAGCATTCAATATTTTCTTATGTTGTACATCTGTAGATTGATCGATACAGAGAACCCCCTGCTTTTGGTCCTATGTGTGACCTTCTCTGGTCTGATCCATTGGAAGATTTTGGCAGTGAAAAGTCATTAGATCATTTTTCGCACAACAGTGTTCGTGGTTGTTCTTTCTTTTTCAGGTAAGTTAATTCTCGGGATTGTTTTGTTGATGCAGACATTGCCCCCATCATATTTTATTCGTGTAAATATGAGGCTGAAGAAGATTTGGTATATTTAGCACCTGATTCGCTTCTGCTGTCGAATGTAAGATGGTGCTACACGATTGAACTAGATTGACTCCTAGCTTGAAGTGGTTGTGCGTGTTAACCTCTTTTTAATGGCTGTGAGACCTGACCATTAAAAGTGTAAGACATAAAAAGCCAAGCTAGCTAGCTAGCTAGCTGTCTTTTATCATAAATGCCTGTCTTCTATCCCCCTTGTTAGGTGGTAGGTGTAACTGGGTTATGATCTTCAGGACTGTAAAAATCAATGAAGGCTGGAAACAATTAGTAATTTGGCTGGCTCGAAGTGATCGTTCTCGGTGATGGCTGCCTGGCGCAGATGCATGTTAAATGTTTATTTCCAAGCGAAATAACTACTGATTATCCCAGTTTTATTATACTGCTAAATAATTGGTGAAATAACTTATTTTCTTTGAATTAGATACAGAAAAATGGGGTTCCAAGTCGAACTCGTAGACCATTCACTGGCCAGTTGACGAATTCCAACCTACACCAGATAGAGGGGGGTGGGTGATGCCACTGATGACATTGGTCGAGCTAAAATCATGAATTGGTAGAAGTTGTAATTCATGCACACTGGCCATTGAACGAGGTCTCCCAGTGGCTGAATACTCTACGAGCTCGCCTTGTAATCGGAAGATCCTCCTGGCTTCGAAGCCTGGCGGTGGGTGGTGGGGACTGTTGCGAAGAAGTACGAAACTAGGACGAAGCACTTGTGTCAAGTACTCCCCAGTGGCTTAACAATGGCTCTCTCTAAATGATAAGGTCAACTTGTGATGAAACCTATAATTCTGTGTATCCATTATTATTCCCCTTTTTCAGTCGTTAATTTCACATTTCAATAGTGTGTCATTTCGTTTAAGCACTATTGTGAGAATATTATTCCTTTGGAACACAATATCTCTATCACACTAACACACTCGCCCCCCCCCCCCATCAAATAATTTCTACTGAAGTCAATCCGATCTTCTTACTGCTGGGGCCTTTGTTTACTTGTTTTGCTGTATCCAGTTCCGGAGCTCGCTGACGTCCACCCTCTTCTCTTTGTTTGCACTTTTGACGGTATATACATGACTCCGTCTCGCAGTGACCGTGTATAGTCGTTCCCACTTTGGAAGGAGTTTGTGTGACCCTGGCTAGCACGTGATCGCCAGTGTTTTGCCTCATAACTATCATATGGTACCTTCTTTCGACATCTTAGCAGCGTGCCAGGTGAAAGTGTCTTCGCCGACGGATCTTGAACGCCAATGAACTCCACGACAGCCTCGGAAACCTACCAGAAGATCCATATGTGTCCTTGATCAAAAACTGCAGGGCATAGGTTTTTGATTTGTCGTTAGGCAGTGTAACAAGTGTAACAGTAGAAGGCAAGACACAGAAGCACATACGTATATTTTCAAGTGATCAAACCGCTATTTAAATATACGCAGTTTTATATTCTCTAACTAATTACGGAGTGTGTGATTTTCGTTTACATTGAACGACATGAAATAGAATATTCAAATATATATAAATATCGTATTCTGTCGCGGTAGTGCAGTATTGAACTGTGGAAATATGTGAGAATAATATTCCGTTGGAGCACACATTGTCTGTATCACACCACCACACTACTACTAACTTTTTTTATTCCTTTACACTCCAAAGGAAACATAGGGGGCTTGGAGCTCTAGAGCTTTGAAGTGACGATGGCAGTGGTGTTTAACTTTTACGGGATGCGATTGATAGTCTTTCATGCCCAGCCTTCCCTCTCTACCAGTCATATCACCGACTTAGCGAGGTAAAGTAGTGCGTCAGTGGCCAGGGGATCGAACCTCGAAACACATGGTGATGTAATTGGCGGCGAGCATTCTACCGCTGTGCCACCGACACACATTAGTACCACCACTCATAGAAATAATAATAGAGTTGGGCTTTAATAATGCAGTGCAATGCGTCATGTACCGTCTAATAAGTCAAATGTAACTTTGCTTGTTTTGTTTCTAGGAAAGAAGGATTTACATTTTATCCACTTGTAAATTAGTAGTAATATGTTCTTTTTTTATCTTCTTTTTTTCTTTTTTTTATTAAAATTCCTCTGCTTTGTTTAAAATAACCTGACTGATTATACAGTTATGCTGCATGCTGTGATTTCTTACAAGCCAACAGCCTCCTTTCCATTATACGTGCTCACGAAGCTCAGGATGCTGGGTAAGTGATTAGATTCTTATCTGATACACGTAATATTGACAACGTTTACAATTAGATGGAGTGAGTCATATTTACATGAAGAAAAGTTTCCCTTAAATTTTGTTGTCATCAGGCTTCAGGTCTTTGTGTGTGTATAACATTAAAGATGATTACGAAGATAACTGAGACATTGCGAAGTGGTCGCGCTATACTGTGCGTGAATTGGCAGAAGTTAGAATTCATGGACTAGCTGGCCATTGGATTGGTGGGTCCCAGTGATTGGCTACTTTAATGGTCTACGAATGAGCTTGTCTTGTAACCAGAAGGTCCTGGGTGCGAACCCTGGTGGTGGATGCGTACTGATGAAGAGACCAGTCGCGAGCACTAGGACGGAGGAAACAGCTGTCCAGTACTTTTAGGAGGCTTTCCAATGGTCCTCTTTTAACCGATATCAGCTCATGAAGGAATTCTTCCAGGAAATCAATTTTAGTCATTTCAGTCAGTACAATAATATGGGATGCAAGCATAACATTCTGCAAATAGGAGATTATTGTGTGTCGTTGACGATTCAGTGGTAAAGCACCCTCCAACCACGCATCCATATGTTCCTGGGTTCTATTCCAGGCTGACGCACTACTCCTAAGACTTCTCTTAGCAGTCGGTAGTAAGCTCAGGTAAAGAAGGAAGGTGGAGCGGCCTTAGACTAGTAATCCTACTCGGTAAAAGAACGACATACTACTGAAACTTCAAAAAAGGCGGAAGCTTGAAGTTGTATGTCCCACTGGGAACGCAAAGGAATAAAATGTAACATACAAATAGTAGGCGAGTGGAATGAATGCTCTGGATTGTCTTATTATTTCGTGATAACTCTTCACACTGCGTCTCAGTAAAGACCAGTTTATTACATCACTGTATTATCGCACTTGTTTCATTAGATATAAGAAACTCAACGTCCCAACCTTCCAATACGTGTATTTATTCTCTCTGACCAGTTATCAGATGAATTATTTTCCTCCTTAGAATATTTGTATTTGTGCATATATCAGGATTCCCACTTATCGTGTTCACATTGAATTATTGTGATTCGTGCGCGTAGAGTCGACATAGACGCATGATTTCCAACTACCTGATGATGATCAGTTCCAAACCCACTCTGTCTAGTATGGCTTGGTTATTCAGCTCATGTTCAAGTGCAAGTGTCTAGTCTAAGCAACATTTCCATTTTCCTACTATAGCGCATCAGTAACTGTCATCTGTCCATCTGACTAATACTGTGTTGATCTGTTACTAATTATTCCAAGCTGCTGAAGACTCCACATGTTGATATGCTGAGGCAATAGCAGGTTTCCCTTATTCATTGATGTTTAGAATAACACGAAGTGATTGATTGATTGATTCATCTGAAGCTAAGAATGGAGACGAAAGTTGTCCGTTCAGCGAGTTTACTCCTCTTTTCATCGATGTCATTCTCAAACTGTACAGTCGTATATTTATTTATATATGTAGTAAATTATCTACGCAACAAAAGAAATATTTCCAAAAGAATTGTTGGCTTTTTATAGATAACAAATTATGTAATATAGAAAGAGTTGATTGTAGCAACCAAAACCGACTCGTTGTGTGATCTAAGCGCGTATAATGATAATAATAATAATAACAGCTTTATTCCAATCGATTCTTGTATCCTGCTGTAATGTATGAGGAATATTATGACCTTGTAGACTACGAGTGAATCTAACTTAATGCGCTGGCTAATCTGTTCTAATCGTACATCAACAACAACAATAATACCGCTGGGCACGCAAGACAAAGAAAGAAGACTGGATGTTGATACGAGAGCTTTTACTGTCTCTACAACAGTCGAAAATGTTAAACCAAGCCCCGTATTTATACAGTTAGGAAAATCAATGTCACATTAAAAAAAATATTAACAACCAATGGGAATTCAGTAAATTAAATCATGCAGGTGCGAAAAATCAATATTGATGAGTCACCAGTGTATTAATCAGAAACTCTTTCGAGAAGCTTAGAGTCACGGAACCCTCGAAAGACAGCAAAAAAAACAAGATCGTTTATGATTGAAATATATACATGGTTCTGCTATTCCATAACAATAATATTTTAGAAAAAATCAAAATTACCTCAACACTGTCGTCAGACAGCTCAACACAGTCAGTGTAGGTTTCTAAGCCCAAAACGAGCATACTGTAGAATAAAATTTGGTCAACCTTATTTATTACCTTAGAGTAGAGTCGAGCAGAATATTTTCCGCAAGTTGGAATCGCAAATTCTCATTCACAAGGATTACACACCAAAGCTTCCCATGGACAGTCTACGAAGCTTACAAATGACTTCGATTCAGTCAAGCGTGTGCAATAACACCGTAAAACAACACATCGGTGTACCACACAACTACAAACAAGTTATAAGTATTGTGATCAGAGAATAAAAGATGCACTGGATGCAGAATTCCGCCCACAGGAACAAGCTGGATTCTGGAAAGGCAAATCATGTGCTGATCGAATTCCAACTGTACGCATCGTCATCAGAAAACAAAGCATAGAGTGGCAGTCAAACCTTTCTCTACCTCAACTTTATCAACTTCGAAAAGGCCTTCGACAGACAGAGAAGTAATTGGGAAACTGCTTCAACACTATGGCATACCTCAAGTCTTTGTCAACCTCATTCAACAGCTAGCTGGCTATATGACGATGCTACATGTCAGTTGATCCACAACGGAAAACTCAGCGAGACTTTCGAAGTGTATACAAGAGTAAGATAAGCTTAGCAAGCTAGCTGACTATCTATTATCACCAACGATGATATGCTTAATTTTGGTGGACAGGATTATGCGTCAGACTGTGAATGGGCATCGAGGATACAAGAATACGCTGGACAACCGATAAAAAAGACTCTAGAAGATGTGGATTTCGCGTGTTAATGTTACACAAACTCGAAGACTTGCAGTTAGGCAGGTGAAAACTGCCAATAAACTGGCTGAAGAAGCTGGCTGGCTGGCAGCGAAGAATGGACTCCAGGCGAACATAGAGAAGGTGGAGATAGAGATGATGAGGATAACCAATGAACAACAACAACCAGCATCAATCATCGTCAGAGAGAGAGAGAGAGAGACTAAACGGAGGTTTCTTCCTTCACTTATCTAGTCAACCAGGATGGGGAAAGGCAAGCAAGTTACGCCTTCATAAAACTGAAACCACTTTGAAAATCTTTTGCACTTAGCATAAGGAACAAGATTCGAATATTCAACACTAGTGTGTCACGAAAAGGTTTTCCAGAAAGCTACTGCAGACTTTTATCTGCCACCTTCACTGGCTGGCTCCATAGTGAAGATCAAATGGCCTGCCATAAAGAATTAGTAACAAGAAACTCTGGCTGGGAACAAGCCAACAGGCAATAGCCGGTCGCTCAACAAATGTTTAGGAGAAAATGGAGATGGATTGATCGGACACACATTGAAAAGACCGTCGATTGACATCGTGCGTCAGGCCCTCCAGTGGAATCCCAATAGGAAGCGACGCCTGAGTGAGTCGTGGATGCTATTGTCATATGGAAGAGATAGTGTGAGTTGGAGGGAGGAGGAGATGAGAGATTATGGGCAATCGTGGGGTCAGCCGGCTGAAGAGGATGGCAGAAGCTAGGAGAAAGTGGAGATGTGTTGTTGAAGCCCGATGTTCCACTCGGAACTGAAGGGCTAATTTTGTTATCAGATCGTTTATAAGGGATTTTCCAAATAATCTTTTCGTTAGATTAATCGGGTGGGTAGAAATTGAAATAAAATTAAAAATAATATAAATTTAGTGGCGTAATACAATTGACTGGATTGAGTAGAACTCAAAGCTAACAACAGACATAATAAGGAGTAGGTGTATTGCACATTTGAAGGGAAGAGAGAGAGAGAGAGACAATATATCTACAATATAATCAATTACCAAAACGAAAAATTGCTCATTCGGTGTTAAGACAGATCCAGGTCCATTGTAGATTTAATGACCGAACAAACTTTTCCTGTATACAGACTTCTCCATTTTACAAATGATAAATTGCCAATGCTTCTGTGGGGTTTGAAGAAGTTTGATATGTGTATCCTTTTAGCAAGATTCCCGTGTATTCTGTAGTTGACTTTGAGTTTTGGTTTTGCGGATTCTCTTGGTGTCCAAATTCGCTCATATATTCCAGAATAGAGTTTTGAGTGTGAGGGATCTTCATTTCTCCTTCATGAAATCATAACTTTGAGTGAGTGGTTCGATGATACGTCGTGTGTTCTCTGAGCTGGTTTAGATTGTTTAATTACCAAGCTTTCGTCGTCCTTTTGGATAACATCCCCTCTCAGTGCAAGTTTTAGCATAAAATAAACTGATTTGGATTCCTCCTCCATGAGTGGTGATAGAATTGTGTCTCCTGGTAACCATCTTCGTGACTGGTAGAGTCGATTTACATCTGAACTGATCATTTTTTATTGACTTGGATTTTGAACTTTCTTGTCATGCATGTCACGTGATCACGTTTTATTAACTGGTCAATTTGGTCTATAGTAATTACTGTGTTCGTTAATCGATGGCTGATTCGCTTGAGTACCAGGCTTCTATTTTTGGTGTTTCCTCTACTTAAAATTTTGGCATTATCCCAATCACTACTAAATTAGTGTCCATAATTATCCACATACATTGATACGAAAGAATATATATTATGCCTTTCTAAAGCCAATTTGTGTTCTTGGATTCTGATCCGAAAAGGACGCCCACTTTTGACCGATGTAATGTGTGTCATACAATTTATTTTGTAAATGGTAGTAAATTTATCTTCTTTTCCTGATGAATGGGTCTTTTTGGTTAGCACAATAGGACGAAACAGCTTTCCAGTACTCCCTGCAGGTTTTCCAATGATTCTCTAACTGATATCAGCTCATGGTGAAATCCTCCATATATTCGAAATCAAATTTCTTTTAATGAATACAAATGTATCGTCAACGTAACGTAGTTGTCCAGAGTTTTGGTTTAATTGTAGGTAAATAGGACTATTAAGTCAGATCTTTGTATAATGACTTTAGTTATTAGTCCTGATATGGGTGATGATCCTTAATGGTGATCGTTTTATCTGTTCGTTGTGTATTTGATCATTGTGAATTGGAAGTATGTTTTAAAACACAAAAACGTATGTTTGGATAACAAATGCTGATTTCCTTGCCTCATTGTTATTATTGTCAATTATTTTTCGCTTAAAAACAATACTCTGTCTCTATATGTTTGTGTATGGGGGGGTGATGATGTCTAAACTCACATATGTGTGAAATACGTACAAAGTGTTTAGGGAAAATTAGAAATCATTGATTGACCTCTGTCTGCTGTTTTTTTGTGTCTTCTTGCCCCTTTAGTTATCGTATGTATCGAAAGAATCAAGCTACTAATTTCCCTTCACTTATAACAATATTCAGTGCCCCCAATTATCTAGATGTTTACAATAATAAAGGTGAGTTGTTCATTGAAGTTGTGCTTTATATTATTTTGCATTCGTATAAGAAGTTTTGATGTTGTGTTGAAATGCAGTGCAAAGTAGCAACATATTCAAAAAAAAACAGTTGCTGTTATTATTATTATTATTATTATGGTACCTTTTGAAGTGAATTAAAAAAACGCCATTTACTGGCGTCTTTGGGAAATGCGTGTGTCTGAGTGTTTCTGAACTTTCACTTAAATATCCGAGTATTATTCAACCGTTTCATCCGTCCGCCTTTCTGAATGCCTATTGTAACTTACAGTTGATTCCACAGATTTGTCAAATTCAGAACTGGATAGGCAAGACACATCTACATCAATCTAAAATCACCGTATGGAACACAGTTCGAATTTTCAGCACCAGTTATTTTACCAACAGTTGTCCCTATTGCTACTGGCTTCATACTGAGGGTTAGCTGAGCTGTTGTGAGGGATCAGAAACAAGAAACCCTGGGCGGTGGGGGGGGTGGGCCGATCATTCCTGAAAAGGGCGAAGAAAACGGAGATGGATCGGAAGCATGCTGAAGAAAATTATTCAGTGACATTGCATGGCAGGTTGTCACCGAGAGTAACCTGAATGAATGGAAGGAAGTGAGATGGTTAGGTGTGTGTGTGACTCCAAGGGTAGAAATGAAAGTTTATGAGGAAGAGAGTATTGTGGAGAACGGCACCTTCTTAAGTCAAGCTTCTCTAGCTGCTCGTGTTCATCACACTGTGTAGAGAATTGTTATGTTCTAGTTTTCCCCGTCGCCAAATTGTTATGTACTCGTCGCTGAATTTATTGTTATGGACTGGTCGAGAAATTAATAGTCCTGACGCGAGAAGGCGGAAATCAGAAGACCACTAGGTTTGCGATGATACTTCTATTGTCCAAACACAAGGAGACGAAAATAAATGGTCTCACACCAAAGTGGTAAGCAAGTCAAGTAGTTGTAAAGTAAAGTCGTTCACACAAATTGCGAATGCGAATATATATATAAATAATTCAGACAAGCGTGGGAAAAATCATTTGACAGTCTTAACATGAATGGCTAATTATAATGGAGTGTCAATCCAATTATACATAGCGAATATAGCAGACATGCCAACAAACATATATGGATATATGTCACCAAGCAACGGACTGTCAACAAACACTCATATTATATATAATATAATATAAGGAGAATACACATTATTAAAGGAGACAAGTCCATACAAGTGAAGTGGTCACAGACTAACCGAGCAAACAGAAAGAGAGACCAACATGCACACACACACATAAATATATATATGTGGATACATATCAAGAATAAGGTCTAAAACAAGAACCTCCTTTTTCACTTTTGTCAATCATTTCATCACATTAATATAATTGACTATACATGATGGTGGATGGAAACTGTCCAACTGATCGCTAGATGAACATGTTGTGTAAGTCGTCGTTCTAATGCAAGATCGGATGTTTAATACCTTGATAATTATATGTATAAGGTAGCTTCAGGCAATCCGTGGCAAAGCGGTTGAGACTCTTGCCAACCATGGAAATGATCTGAGATTCGATTCCCTGAGATGCATACGTGATATCAATGGTCGGCCTGTGAAATTCAGGCTACCCATATCACATGCTGAAAATTCCATAGTTGTACCAAAATACGATGTGGAATCAAGCGATAAACAAAATAGAAAAAAATTTAAAAAAATTATTACTCCATATTGTTTTGTATTTTTGATATAAAACATTCTTGAACTATGTAATTTCTTGAAGTAATTTTGATGAGGGTGACTAGCAGTGGAGTTCAGGGTATATGCATTTCGTCATATTTGGGACTCATCAGCTAAAGGAAGTACACCCTCATTCCTTAGTGAGTGAGTGATTTTTTCCGACATTCATGCTCGAACCCAGTGTAGCCATCCTGGATTTCACTGCTAGAGTCAGCCAGGCGGCCACTATCCACTAAAATTCCTTCAATTTGATCCTCAAGCATTGTCAAAGTATCCGTACTAGGTAGAGGATCCGAAATGTTGTCTACAGTGAGAAATCCAAATTGTGAATTAATCTCTTTTCATTACATAAGTAACTCACACACACACACAGAGAACACTGTTTATTCCATTGTTATTATTATTATTATTATTATTATTACTTACTGATATACACAAATGATATATGCGTTTACACTTTGTTCGCTTGTGAACTGATCGATCCCCATTTTTTAGCTGCTATTCTTAAATATGAAAACAATACAATGAATATAAGACAATTTAATTGTTCGCCTCATCCTTACTGGCTTCCAAATTTCATGGATGTATTCACCTGGTCTTTACCTTTTGTTGGAGAGAAAGGTGAGTAGCTTTCTATTCACACATATCTATCTATCTATCTATCTATCTATCTCTCCATCTGTCTTCATTATAATAAAGGTTTTTTTGTATTTCCCAATGAATGAAAAACAAAACGATATTGTTTTTACTGACGTTTCGCTATTTAATGCTGCTGCTAATAGCTTTCTCAAAGTATTATTAAACCGGAATTTACAAAATCTCAGCATATATATAACAAGGGGGTTAGGGGGTGAGAAAAATATAGACTAAGTTCAACTTAAAAGGACATATTGAAAGTCAAAATAACAATGAAGATCACTAAACCAAATATCAAATGTAACAGTATATCTGTTATTATATCAAAACAAAGTTTACTAACTTGATCATCGTTCGTTATTCTGGGGTCATTTTTGGTTGTCAAGTTGATGAATTGGTAAAGATAACAAAATCAAGTGTAGATTGTTGAATTTGATCAGTGTGTAAAATTATAAAAGTAGTGTGTGTTTACATAGTGAACTTGCTTATTATATTCGTGTTGATTTTGTCGCTTCGTTGAGGAGGGGAGGGAGGTGTTGTAACCAGGTCAGATTCTCTTTTAGTCCATCATTCCTATTCATTTCAGACAATTTGGATTCCACTTGATAAGGAGTACTTCTGATATCAGACGTTCTTTGTGATTTCTGAATTGCTTTTTCTGGATTATTTCAATATTGTCAAAATCAATTTTGTGGCCTGATTCTATAGCATGTAGACGAGCTTATGTCTGGTGATTTTTCAAGTTTTTCTAGTTCATCTGGATTTATTTTTCGGTGGTCGAGGAGACGCTCTACGGTGTTCATTTCTTTTGATTTTGATTTCTCTCTGTCGATGTTTGTCCGATGTAGATCGCAACACATTCCAAGCATTTTATTTTACAGACAGAATTAGATGGAGAATCTTTCGGGATTCGGTCTTTTATATGGACAAGGTTGCTTTGAAGTGTGTCTGGTGTCTTGAAGAAAACTCTAACGCTGAGCTGATTGAGTACTCTTCTAATATCGTCTGATGTCTCTGCTCTATATGGAATGACGACTGTTGACGTCCATGTTTACGGAATGCGTTTTCGACCATACTTAATATCTGTGTTGATTTTGTTGATGAAATTCCTTGAGTAGTGGTTTTGCTTGAGAGTTTCAGTAATGTTTGATATTTCTTCTTCTCTTTCTTTCTCATCCGTTAAGATCAGAGAGTGTGCTCGTCTCAGAAGACTTGAAACAACTGAAATCTTTGTGCTGATGGGGTGTGATGATTTGAAGTCTAAATATTTATTGGAGTGGGTTTTCTTCATGAATATGGATATACTAAAATGTCCGTTTTCCTTTCTCCTAACCAGGCAATCTAGAAATGATAGTTCATCGATATCTGATTCTGCTTCCGAATCTGTTTGTCTATCTCTCTACCGGCCACCCACCCTTCCTCCCTCCTTTTCACTACTTTTTCTCATACGATAAAAGTATGTGCATGTTAATTTTGTTAATTGACTTTATAATAAATCGTAGACAAAAATTCATTAACTCTATTGCTTTCATTAATCAATATATATAGGGTACAGCAGGTCGGGTGTGAGGACAAATACTCGCCGAAGACATTGGCTAGCGGTTGCGCTATATCGTGAATTGGCAGAAGTTAAAATTCATGTGCCATTAGATCAGGTCCCAGTGGCTTAATGGTATACGAGCTCACCTTGTAACCAGAAGGTCGTGGTTTCGAACCCTGGTGTGTACTGCTAAAGAGTCACAAACTAGGCTGACGAAACAACTGTCCAATACTCCCAGGTTTTCCAATGGTTCTCTAACTGATGTCAGCTCATGGTGAAATCCTGTAATGAATTAACCAAATCCCTACAAACCAATACTTGAATAAATTTAATGATTAAAAAAAACAGAACAGAGGTAGGCATGTAAAAGAGATACAGAGAGAGTGTGTGTGAGTGTGTGCAGGCCAGCTTAAACCACACTACTGATCTACCTGAATTTATTCTGTCCATCAAAATTCCATCTATCACATTCTCCTCCAATTTTACCAAACCACAATCAATCCATACTGATTGACAACTAATTTTTAATATAGGTTCAGAATTGCCGCTATATTAAAATAGGGTGGAGGAGTAGTAGTACTGTAGTGTTATGCTTCAGTGTTGAATGGAACAAATGACGTCAGCAGATGATGATCTATTATCGGGTGTTATTATTATTATTATATTATTTGAATAGACAAATTTCGCGAGATGATATCGTCACTTCGTAGTTTCTTTACAGCCGCTTTACAACTAACATGGTTAACAATGATAAAATAAAGTTCATGACATTCACTCAGTTAAATAAAAAAACAACAAAAGTTCATACTATGCTAATGACCAGTCATACTTAGATAGGTCATGTGGTCAGTCCACGGTAGGCGAAGATTGAAGTCTATTGTGTTCTCTTTGTACACACAGTTCAAGCTGTATGTGATTAATCGACGAAGAGTGATTCCTTCCATCACCTTCAATAACCAACCTTGAATTAGAGTTATGTGGTGAAATAATTGTGAAAGAGTTATTAATATTGATTGATTTTGTGACCTGACATTAATAAGTGTTTTCCAATGGATAATGATGCTGGATTTCTATATGATTTAGTTCTCACTGGCCGAACATTTTCCATCTCTGCACCTACGATGAAAGGACGAAATTCTGTGGACTCTACTTCAAAATGTATCTACAAGTTCATCTGTAGTTGCGGTGACCTTTATTATAATTGTCATGAACTTTATTTGATGATTATTGAATTGAATTTTTGATTTTCCCGTCGATTGATTGGACCGAAGTGCTCGGTCTCAGGTTGACATGTCGGCTTCTTGTGCAGATGCTTCGACGATGTCTGGGCATTTAGTTAGTATACAATTGGTGGATGGTGGCTGGCAGTGGAATCCAGGATAATTAATATGACCCGTCGCACAAGAGGTGGCTCTCGTGGCCCAAGTGGTCTAGTGGATAACGCTTTGGCGTTTGAAACTATGGGTACTGGGTTCGAGCCTCAGTGGGAACATCATCACTCACTGAGAAATGCAGGTACATCCAGCTGACGAGTCCTAAATAGGACGAAATGCGCATCCTGGATTCCACTGCTAGCCACCATCCACCAATTGTTTATTTGATGATTGTTAACCATGTTATTAGTTGTAAAGCGGTTGTAAAGAAACTACGAAATGATGTCATCATCTCGCGGTGAAATTTGTCTTCTTAATGTCTTATTTAAATTTATCAAAGTGACTAATTGCTTTAATTATATTATATGAATATATTACACAAAGAGTGTAAATGTCTTGCAATGGGACTCGTTGACACATTGTTCAGGAGAAGGTTAATAATAATATAATAATAATAGTCTTAAATATGTATATGTATGGCAACCTTACCCTTCTGCATTGAAACTAGTTTACGAAGAGCTATTCCGATGTTTTCCAACTCGGTCTGTCTTTTTGGTGTTAGATGACTGGAGGCAATCGGTCATAGAAGGGGAGGCCTTGGATCTAGCTAGACCTAGGTTTCATTCTAGTTGTCACTCACTCACTCACCATCAGTCACCAAGGTGTATCTTCAATCACGTTGAAGGAACAGCTCATGTCCCTTCTTCTGAGATTCGAAGTCGCGTCACCCACTCAGTGAGTAGTGGAGTGTGTCAGAGATGTTACAAGCACTGAGCTCATCGGGCTAGCGATTAACTTCCTGTAGGACTGAGTGTATTGGATACTTTGATTGGAAACTAGTCAGTCAGTAACTAGTGTGATGTCTATCTGTCTTCATTTCTTTTGCCGACAATTTAATCCACTATTCCAGATAATGTTAACAACCACTGCAGACATTTTTGTCAGTAGCGTACACGCTATAAGTGTGTGTGTTTGTGTGTGTGGTTGGACTCTGCTCTATACACATAACTGTATATGAAGGATTGTCAATACTCTTCTTCCTATTCGTTTTTTCTGTTATCAACCATATGTATATATATATACATTGTCCTTATCAATTTTTGTTTAACAAACTCTGTAGTCTAGCCTATCTATATATATTTGATTTGCATAAGGTTACATTTTAACAGTGAAATGTCTTGTCAAGCGTGTTTTGTATGGTTTATAGAGATTTGGTTGGGTTGCTTACAGGATTGGCCACGAGTTGACATCAGTTAGAGAACCATTGAGAGACTACTGAGGAGGGATAGGATGAGGATGACTATTGGACAGTTCGAACGCATGACCTTCCGACGATTATACAAGGCGAGCTCGTAGACCATTCAGCTGCTGTGTGTGTGTTTATTGTATTGATTTTAGTCACTAAAAAGAAGCATATCAGGCTACATTTGTTGGTGTCCACCAGTTTGGTTGATGTGTCCTCTGATGCTCCCCCCTCCACACACACTCACTCACCCGCTGATATCAGCTCTTGATGGAAGCCACTTGAAAACAGTCCACCTTTTGCTGATCTTAAGGGACGAGGCGTTCAGCGAAGAGTTAGTGTGACTCCTTTTCATTGATACCGTTGTCAACGCTGTACCATATGATAAAATAAAAGAATATAAGTATGTCCAAGGTAAAGAAAGGTGTTGAACAAGACGTTTTCGAACACATATGTTTCTGGAGCTTCAGGTATGCAAAAGTGGAGAAAAAGAAAGATTTTGGAGTGGTTCGATTTTGTCCTGTAGATTTTAAAGGACAAATCACGTGTGTGGGAGCGGCTGAATGACCTGACTCCAGAAGGTATTCACAGATTGAAGATTTTGTCGTCCTATACTCGCCTTTCATTAACCAAACCGGATGGTGTTCAGCTACGCGTTTCCAGAGAACACGCTTACAACATGCAATGTCATCATGTTTACACAAGCATTCGAATGAATATATACACATAGAGGTGGACATAAGCGGTAGTTTATCCTTGACACATTGTCCAATCATATATCGGTTAGTAAATACTAAATGTAAGTCAGCTGCATGAAAAGAAAGTTTAATACACTTAGATAGACGACTTTTAATTACTTCAGCAACAGTGTCACCTTTGAACTTCAAATTCATAAACAATATCTTCTTGGACACTGTGATTTAGCTAAGAACGGTTTCTTTCTTTATGTTTCTGTCAATAAACCTTATAGGATATCATTATTTAAGGGTAATAATCTTTAAAGGTTTTGTAATTCATCCACTTCAACTCTACCTCGAGCCCCTTTGATTATCTTTATTCTTATTATCATATGTGCATTACTGACCACTGAGCAATTTCTAGTGCCATTTATTAATGTCTCCTGGACTTCTGTACAGCTGGTTGAAAATGAAGTCGTTGAAAACAAAAAACTGTATTTCTTCTTTAAACAAAACCAAAACTGTTTTTTCTTACAAGTTAGGTGGGTATAATTTCGCGATCTACAAAAACAGGACAAAAAACCTTTAAAGTATTAGTTTGTAGGGATTTTCTTTGTGATTGGTTGGAAGATTTGACCATAGCTGAAATCGGTTGGTTAGAGAACCATTGGAAAACCTGCCACAGGGAGTACTGCCAGCCAGCTGTTTTGTCAGCCTAGTTTGGGACTCTTTGGCAGGATTTTCTGCTTTATTCTTCTGTACAACATGTGGTCTTTCACTTATAGACACACCACACACAGTTATACACAGCCTCTACCCCGGCTCTTTTTAAAGTTGGTGGCGAGACTCTCACAATGGCTCTAACTGGGTTGTTCAGGAAGGTGTGGGAGACCGAGAGTGTACCATCAATGTGGAACGAAGCCATTATCGCCCCCATCTCTAAAAAAGGTCGACGTAATTCGTGTGACAATCATAGGGGTATCAGTCTGCTACCAGTCGGCTGCTGCCTCGCTTCGCAGACTACACAAAATGCGTAAGGGTTTGATTCGCGAAGAGCAGGCTGGGTTTCGTTCAGGTAGTGGATGCATTGATCATGTGTTCACCCTTCGTCAGTTGTTGAAACACCGCCATACGTATTGCAGGCCAACGATCATTGTGTTTCTTGATATTAGGACTGCCTTCGATTCGTTGTAGAGAATTGTACTCTGGAACTGTCTTTTAGAGAGAGGTGTACCTGAGAAATTTGTAAACATCTTGAAAGCCCTATACAGAAACACCTCAGGTAGAGTGAGGGCATACAACCAACTGTCATCGCTGTTCCGAACCAACAGTGGGGTTAGACACGGTTGCCCAATCTCTCCATTTCTCTTTAACTTTGCCATCGATGACATTCTGGAGTCAGTTCTGAAGGATGTGCGTGAAGGTGGTGTAGATCTGCTACCTGGAGATGGACTGTTTGTCCTCAAGTATGCAGACGATATCGTCTTACTGTGTGATAACATGCAGGCTGCTCAAATAGCACTTGATCAGTTGGCGATCAGTGTCTGTAAGTATGGTATGTACCTTGCGTCGTTTAAGTGCAAAGTACTGTTACAAGATTGGCAGGAGTCTGTACCTGCACTCACTCTTGCGGGTGAACCGCTTGAAGTTGTTGATAAGTTTGTGTATCTGGGTAGTTGTGTAAGTGCTGGCGAAAGGGTGATGGATGAGATTTCCAAACCTATAATGAAGGCTAAGGTGGCATACGTCAACTTGAGCCACCTCTGACGCCGTCGTGACGTTAACCTGGCTGTTAAAGGTCGGGTATACAGTGCCTCGATGTGGGCTATCTTGCTCTACGCCTGTGAAACCTGGCCTTTCCGTGTAGGCTGAGGATGTATGGCGATTCTGCGTGTTCGATCATCGCTGTCTCCGCAGGATTGCTTGCGTTCGATGGCATCATCGCATGAGTAATTCTGAGATTCGGTGGTGTGTGTTTGGACACAGTGGAGATCACCACTCATTGAGTGTGTCGTCATCTGGAAACACCGGCTCCAGTGGCTTGGACATGTGCTGAGAATGTCATCTCAGAGGCTTCCGTAAAGGTCTCTGTTCGCTGGCCAGCCCTGGGATGGGATGAAAAAGGCGGAGGGGTGGTCAGTTCATGACGTGGCGTCGTGGGATGAAGGATTTTTGTGCTGGATTAGCATCAGTTGGTGTCACGACTCCCTGGTTGGGGTCCGTGAGATAGCTGGAAACGTTACCGGTTATGGCCAAGAATCGTAATCAATGGCGAACGTGTTGCAATTTCATTCTTTCTTCCCTTCCCGATGATAGTTAACGAATACTGTTTGAACTTGTTAGGCATGACTGTTTTCCTTCCAGATGAAGTTCTTTATCCGTTCTCTACTTATATTCTTTTCTACTTTTAATCTATGTTGTTTTATTATTAATATTGTGTGGCGCATCTTTCTTGGTGCCATATTGTACCAAGTTTTTTTGTCTGCGTTTAAATAAATAATAATAAAAATACACAGAAATGGTCTATCACATCATGTAGGTTACACTTGTATAGTATTATGAAATGTACGCTAAGGTAAGCAATTTAACTGTTGCTTTTTGAGAATTCTGTTAGAAAATACGTCGTTGGTTAGCCTTGTAGTAAGAATGTTATTTAATTGATGTCTTGGTATTTTTACTTTGAGAAATGCACACACACACACTCACGTGCGGTTTATAGATAGTTTGTCTACAATCATTTGATACTAATCAGAGGATCACATTTTGTGACACAGCAGTGAATAGGCAGCAATAGTATCATTATATATGTCGGATATAAGTGATTCATTAATATTTGTATATCTGTGTATGTGTGTGGTATACAGTCATCAGGTGAGAGAGAGAGAGAGAGTCATTCATCACACCGCGTCGTAGAAATACGTTTCTTTTTTGTGCTGTTTTATTGTTTAGTTCAGTGTAAGTGTATCGGCTTATTGAAGTAGTAGTAAAGAGCGGATTTTTAGAGTGTTCATGTAGCTGCTTTTGATCTCTTTTTTCTTTTTTGATTTTGTGTTGTATTTTGGCGCTAAGCTGTGATTGACTTAGATTACTGGTAAGCTCTTATTGGTTCCTACAGCTAGACAACATCTTCACATCAAAAACTTTATTATCAAGTGAATTTGAATTCATCTGAATTGTTTCTACATGATTGATTGATGATATCTCTTTGTATCTTCTGTGTTAAACATTGTCATGATCCGTGTTGTTAGTTTGGAATACACCCCCACAAATCAATCAATAACATGTTTCAACATTATTTAATTCACAAGAGAGAAGAATAATCAGACAATAGAATTCCTTTTACCAGATGTCTTAATCAAGACAGCCAATTGAAGAAACCATCCTCAAAACCATAACTGTAAAGGCTGGAATACTGAGACAACTTGAAATAGATACAACACACACGAGTCAAGATAAATGACAAACACCACCTCTAGAAAATAAATAGGTCCAAGTGAACGTCGCCTTCAACTCACAGTGCAAGAACATAAATTCACTGTGAAAAGAAGCGATATATATATATATATATATATATATATATATATATATATATATATTCCTACACATGAATGCAAGTGAACAATCACAGAGACCGATTTCATCGGGGGAGAATGTTAAAATGTGTTGGAATAGGGGAGGGAAACACCAAAAGTAATGACAGGGAATTTCTACACGCCTGGTTGGTAGTATTCAGATGAATAATCAATTAGCCAGCAATTAACAAACACACACAGACACATTAATGACTATAGATCCAAGTCAACAGAAACACGATCAGTAGAGATGTGAATTGACAAACAATCACAACAATAATTTGATTGGACACTAGCCAGTAACTAGTGTGATGTATCTGGCTAGTCCTTTGTTTGGTATATACTGAATTCGATCAGTCAGACTGACCACATTGCAAACCTGACTGACAGATAGAATTCAGTCTGCAACAAACAGATAGGACTAGCCAGACACATCACACACTAGTTACTGACTGACTAGTATCCAATACACTCAGTCCTACAGGAAGTTAATCGCTAGCCCGAAGAGCTCAGTGCTTGTAACATCTCTGACACACTCCACTACTCACTGAGTGGGTGACGCGACTTCGAATCTCAGAAGAAGGGACATGAGCTGTTCCTTCAACGTGATTGAAGATACGCCTTGGTGACTGATGGTGAGTGAGTGAGTGACAACTAGAATGAAACCTAGGTCTAGCTAGATCCAAGGCCTCCCCTTCTATGACCGATTGCCTCCAACCATCTGATATAATCAGGCGAGATAGGATTTCACATCATCATTCATGGAGAAAGAATTCAAACAAGTTCACCAATCAGTTTACATTAAAGCTTGGATTGTGAAGTGATTTTGTCTGCAAGGCTGCAATTGAAGGCTTTCAGTGATATCGATCAGCGCTAAAGGACCACAACCAAGAAAAAAAAAATCAAAATCACGAGATTATTGCTATGTGTGCTTAGGGATATTTATGTTATGCGATTTATTGATTTTTATAATTATCCTAAATTTATCGTACTTTTCCAGTTACGGAGATGCTCATGAATGTACTAAGTATATGCTCAGATGATGAATTAATGAAGGAAGGTGATGACACTTTTGAAGGTACGTTACATTAACCGGGAATAACTACACTCTTTTGTATTATTTAATACCTGATGTAAAGCTGTTTTTATGTTTATATTTGTTTCTTCAGGTGTGTTTTGTTCCTTGGCGAAGACTGTTCTTGTTTATTCGTTTTAAATGTTAGGTTATCAGAACACTGGAGTTTTTTTTTTATAGATCTCGAATGATGATCTTCTTTGTTAAGTGATCTGGAGAAAAGCTTAGCTATCCGAATGCATCGGTGGCACAGCGGTAGAATACTCGCCAGCAACCACGCTGCCATGTGGTCTGGGGTTCGATCCCCCGCCGACGCACTTCTTTACTTCTCTAAGCCAGTAACAAGAATGGTAAAGAGAGGGGAAAGTTGGGGCATAAGGCTGGTAGCAACCCCACCCCGTAAAAATAAACACCACTGCTTCTGAAACTTCAAAGCTGTAGCTTAAAGGCGCCTTATGTTCTACTTGGTGCGTAAAGGAATAAAAAAAATCGGAATCTATTTGCATGTAATCCTATGAATACGGGATTTTCAATACCAATCTTAAGTCAGTTAGTGTGGGTCACAGATTTTATGAGTGTCTCACGAAGAGCATTTCAGACTCTGGTTACTGAAAACTGTTATCAACATGTGTCCCCTTCATCGACTCCTTATTGAGGATCAAATGGTCGGTGGAAAGAATTAGCAACAAGAAACTTTGTCTGGGAACAAACCAACGAATGGATTGGACCTACACTGAGAAGACTGATGGGTGAAATCGCTCGAGTGGAACCCGATTGGGAGATAACGAGTTGAGCGTAGGTCAGATGGTGACATGTGGTGAAGGGGATCGTGTGAAGATGAAATGGAGATATGTTGTTGAAGCTCTATGTTCCACGTTGAAACCAAAGAATGAATAATGATGATAACAAATAACAGTTGTTTCCGATTGGACATAATTTCCCCCACTTAACTATTGTATTTTGTTCTGTTCCATTCTATGGTGTGTGTGTGTGTGTGTGCCGTTTCCATGAACTGCTTTAATGGTGTGTAATTCTCTTTCATCAATAGGTGGAACTGTTGCTGCTCGTAAAGAAGTTATTCGTAATAAGATACGTGCTATCGGTAAAATGGCCCGAACTTTTACAGTGTTAAGGTGAGTGAGTTTCAGGTACTCCTTCCTCTTCTTCTTTGTTGTTATTTTTGTTGTCAAGATTTATAAGCATTTTTTTGACTTTCACCTTTAACGTCAGAAGACAATAACTACCATTGGGAACGGACTATACATATCAGGGAATAGCGCATCATACTTATACAGTAAAAGTTGGTTTTCGCCGGCGAACAGTAATAAACTACTCTGATTGGTTATGTGGTAGTTGAACCAAAGTTTTACCAACGAAATCATATTTCCGAACAAAATAACCTTAATTAAATCAAGATTTTTGACCTCTTTCAGTTTGTTTGTCGATTGTCCTCTTCTTACCTTCGTTATTCAGGATGTTAAAGTGTTAGGTTCGATTGTTTTTTTTTCCTTTACTTTCCCAGTGGAACATAGGGCCTCAAGTTGGTGGCTTGAATTTTCTGTAGCAGTTTTCATTTTTACAGGATGGGGTTGCTACCCTTATGCCCAACCTTTCCTCTTTACTAGGATTATTTCTCGCTTAGCAAGGTGAAGGAGTGCGTCTGTGGCCGGGGATCGAGCCCCGAACCATGTGCATGGTCGGTGAGCGTCCTAACCACCGCTGTGCCACCGACGCACAATTAAAGTTTTAGGTTCGATTGTTGGTAATGAACAATATACACCTCATTCCGTTTATACTACCAGTTGTGGTGGTGAGTGTTAATTTGTGCTTGAATATCTATTTCACTGAATGAAGACGTTGTTCAAGTTTCCATGCAAAATAGACATAGTGTAACAGCAGAAGGCAAGACACAGAAGCACATACGTATATTTTCAAGTGATTAAACCGCTATTTAAATATACGCAGTTTTATATTCTCTAACTAATTACGGAGTGTGTGACTTTGGTTTACATGAAGTGACATGAAATAGAATGTTCAAATATATATAAATATCGTATTCTGTTGCGGTAGTGCAGTATTGAACTGTGGAAATATGTGAGAATAATATTCCGTTGGAGCACACATTGTCTGTATCCCACCACCACATTAATACTTCATACATTTTGATGTGATTGTTATGTTGTTTTTGTACTTTAGTTACTGAATTGTGTTCACAGAATGTGTGTTAGACTTTCTCTTCATGATAAAGATGATCCTAATGTGCGTCGGTGGCACAGTGGTTAGGACTCTCGCCGACCATGCACATGGTCCGGGGTTCGAGCCCACTCCGGCGCACACCTGATATCTATGGTCGGCCTGCAAAATTTGGGCTACCGATATCCATGCTGAAAATTCCATACTTGTACCAAAAATGCAGTGTGGAATCAAGCTGTAAATCAAAAAAAAAATCAAAAATTAAAAAAAAAGTTTTAAATCTCCTGTGAAATGTAAGATGATGATGCCACAAGACGACTGGTCTACATTGACTTCTCCTAGCTTTAAAATAGCGTGTCTACCACTTCACTAATTTTGGGACGTTGTATTCAGTCCCAACGGACGTCGAGGGTTAGGTAAGGAAGGGGCTTGTGAGGCAACATCAATTCAGATAGTTAGGATGTGTTACGCATGAGTAAGCATCGCCTTACTAGATTCCATTTCATCCCCCTACGTAGGATTCTTAATAAAGCAGGAACTAGGGTGGTGGCTTTTCAGCCTACAAACTCACTCAGATAGGACAAGCTCTGTAGGTACGCTGAAGGGCCCTGTTAGTTGACCCAATAAAACAAAATAATATAATTTACAAAATACCTTGCAGTGGCTGTGAGTTAGGCCAACTGCATAGGTCAAACAGACCAGTAGATCAGGGTAGTCAGATTGTCAGAGCATAAAAATTTAGCTTAGGTTAGAATGATTGATTACACGGAAATAAGTAATTTAGAAAAAACAACTCAGCACTGAATTGCACTGCGCGCATTAACGGGACGGGAAGCTAATGAGAATACCAAAGTGGGGATCGGGAAAGCAAGGTAAGCTTTCATTACTCTGAAGTTTATGTGGATATCAACAGCACTCAGAATGAAAAATAAGATCCGAATTGTGAAGTCAGTGCTACTATGCGGATCAGAGACTTGGCACATCACGAAGGGCATTCTGAACAAACTAAAAACTTTCATCTACAACTGTCTTCGCTAAATACTTCGCTGAAGATCAGGTGGCCGGCCAGAGAAGATCAGCAACAGGAAGGGATCTCTGGCACTGAACCAACGAACCAAAACAACCCAGCAGGAACCAATTGTTCAAGAAATATGTCGGGAGAAACGCAGGTGGATTGGATTGTGGCCATACTGTGAGAGTGACATCAAACACCAGGCTCTCTCCAGTGGAGCCCGAATGGGACGGAAGCTTCGAGCTAGTTGGTCGTCAGTGAGTGAGGGTGACATGGGTTAGGAGGGGGAGAAGAGGAGATGAAAGCCGGTGAATAGACGTGTAGCTAGGTGAGAAAACGTTGGCAGATAACCGAACTCAATGGAGACGTTTGGTGCGTCGGTGGCACAGTGGTTAGGACTCTCGCCGACCATGCACATGGTCCGGGGTTCAAGCCCACGCCGACGCACACTTGATATCTATGGTCGGCCTGCGAATTTCGGGCTACCGATATCCACGCTGAAAATTCCACACTTGTACCAAAAATACGGTGTGGAATCAAGCTGTAATCAAAAATAAAAAAAGAATCCCTGTGTTCCTCCGGGAACTTAAGGAAACAGTAATAATAATAATATATAGTTATCATTATTATTCCCTAAGGTTCCGAGCAGAAGATAGGGTTTCAGCAAGGCATTTCCAATTCACTCTGTTTTCCGCAGTTGCCCTCAATCGACTCTACGGTCGCTTATTGCCTTCCTCACACGATCAGCTCGATGTCACTTTTCGGATCCATACCAAACTCGTCATGGGGTTACACTCGAACGATGGCGTGGGATGTGATGTCACGCAATTGTCTTCTTGCTACTGTTGTGTAGACATGGTTATATTAATATATATATATATATATATATATATATATATATGTTGGTCGATATCCAGTCCGGAAGTGGACCAATCAGCACTGGCCCACGTGGGGGACCAATGTCTAGTCTGGAAATAGACCAACCAGAATTGACCCATATGAAATGCACGTCTACTATTTCATTGGTCATGATTACGGACTAATCGACATATACCCGGCGATTTTTTTGAATTATACGTTATTGTATAAGTATACTTACCTCTCCGTTTCATGTTGTGTGTGCTCTTGAAAGACAGGTTAGCCGTTGTATATGTGGTTGTTGGCGTAGGTAGGCGTGGTACTTTCGTTTAGATATACTAGTAATGTAATTTTAATAAATTTTCCTTGTTTATTTTTTAGAGAGGAAAGTGAATCTGTGTTTGAATTGAAAGGATTGACTCCAAATGGAATGCTTCCATTAGGTGCATTGTCAGGAGGGAAAGAATCATTAAACAAAGGTAATTGTATTCGCTTAATATTTATATGATGTGATATCTTTGAAGCATGGTAAAAAGAAGTTAAAATATTTATTATTTTATATTAGTCATACTTTCCTTTTAAAAAATATTATTATTTTGCTTACACTTGATTGTTAATTTTTTCTTCCATTGTCAAACTATTTAGCACTATCTGGTGTTTCACCAAGAAATAAAATCATCTCATTTGAACAAGCCAAAGCATACGATCAAATCAATGAACGCATGCCACCAAGGCGTGACAGTAATGTGGCTACTACTACTACACGACCTTATGGTTCTGCTTCTCGTCAAGTCGACAGGAAATCAACTTCAAACCCGTTGAATAATATCACCAGTAATACTGCTGATTCTATCCAATCGTCAAGTCATCGACGTCAAAGTGCAAAGAGTAGTAGTAGTACAAGTCGATCAACAGTAGTGGATCACAGTGATACTACAAACCGTTCTATTAGCAGTGATCTTCGATCATCATCATCTAGTAATGGTGTCCGGTTACCACCACCGCCACCACCAAACTCTGGAGAACCGGCTCCAACCCCTGTAACAAAGCCTTCTGACTCTACGCTTAATTCATTCCCATCAATTAATACATCTATGAATCGAGGCTCTGGTGAATCGAATCCTGGAAATTCTCGGATACCTGTCACTAATTCTGATAATTCCACTAAGAAGTAGCACAGCAGCAGTACCACTACTACTAGAAGTAGAAGTAGGTGGTAGTGTGATCGTAGCGCTTTGCTTCCAATTTCACAAGTTTGGATTTCAAAATGTGAATGCAGAGTTAGTTTACTTTGATGATGATGATGATTGAAAAATTGAAATTTATGCTGCATCTTTCATCGAGAGAGAGAGAGAAAATCAATAAAAATTCCTGCTGTGTTTGCCTTTGTTTTTTTTAGCTTTTTAACCTGTTCCCATCACAGTGTGTGTATTATACCATTTTGATTTAAATTGTCAGATTTTTATTGTCAACATGACTTTTTACAGTTGTCTTTCTTCTTCTTCTTCTTCTTCTGCGTCTTCGTCGCCGCCGCCTTCTACTGCCTCCTCTTCTACTTCTTCTTGTTCACAATCTAAATAATCATAATAATAATTCTCATATATAATATACCTGCAGGGTTCAGGAAAAGAGATTTTAAAATAAAGTTATTCTTCAACTGTTTATAATGAAATAAAAATACTCAAAGGATTGATTCAACTCTCTCTGTCTCTTTGTGTGCATGTGTGTGTGTCTGCTTCGTTATTTCTGTGTGTTTTTGCGTACACACAAATATTCATGTTTATTTCACGCATTCATTGATTGAGATTCATTCAGTTATTCAATAATAATGAACCGCCGTAACGATGAGACTATCTCTGAAAGTGACAGGGAACTAAATTGCCTAAAATAATAAAATTTTAATGCAGTGTGTGTATGTATGTGTGTGTGTGTGTGAGTGTTTATTCAACTTTTACATGCGCTTGTGTATTAATTATCATTGTAATTCTGCATAAAGAAGAAGGCGAAAAAACAAAACAAGTTATCGAATTTTGCTCACTCATTCATATATCCATTACTCTAATTTATCTTATATCTTATGAGTACTTGTTATGTTCCATACACACACACGTACACATGCACACACAAAGGAAGCTATGAATAATTATAAAGTCAGAGTTACTCCATGATTTCTTTATTTCTATACACACCTTTATTTTCCTCGTTTAGTGTATGTAAGATTGTTCTATCGCGTTGCTTTGTTTGTTCTTCCCTTCCCTTCCTCCATCTCCATGATTACACACGCTGTACAACTGCACTCAATTATCTCTTATTATTTTTCCATTATTGAAAGTAGTCGGAACAAAATATGTAGCCGAGAGGTAATAATGTGTGCGTGTGCGTGCGCGTCGGTATTCCAGTCTCTTCTTTTCCAGTACAGTCTTTCTGTTTTTGTCTCCTCTCTCGTATTCCACCACAACCATCTCCACAAATTCATTTTTATATTTCTGTTCTTGATGTTAATTTTTTTTTCTTTTAAGAGAATACGCGCATTCTTTATTATTACTTTGCGTGGTTGAAAGAATGAGATGAGGATATTTCCACTTGTTGAGAATTGTAGACTATTTTTTACTATTTCATCATACACCTGCATGAGTATGTACATCGCTTTAATGTATGCGGGTGTATAATCACGTTTACAACAACAATAATAATAATCATTAAAATAATAGCGGTAAAAAAGAAGCTGCGACAACGACCCACACCAAGAGAACTGTTCACTGGAAATTACCTTTTTTTTGTTGTTTTCTCCCAGTTCTGTTGCGTTTTGCATATATGTGTGTATGTGTAAGTGCTGGTTACTTTTCTCTCTCTCCAGATTTCTTTCAGCGCATCAATTAGTTCATCTGTACACCCTGTTTCTCTCTCTCTCTTGCTCCCTCGCTCTGTTGATGATATATACACGCATGCATGTATCGTGAAGATTTATCGTACACACACCCCGGTTGTATTCTTTTTTTGAAACAAACAAAACAGACTAATCTGTCCTATAATTTTCTTTCAGTTCCCTTGTTACTACCTAAATTTTGCGATTATCACATTTATTGTGTTATTTGTAAAGAACATTGTGAATGTGATGATGATGATGATGATAATGATGATGAACACGGATACATTTCGACGTCCTCTTTCAGTGTGTGTGTGTGTGTGCGTGTGTAACATGTTTCCTCTCTCGCTGTTATATACCTACACATGCATAGATTTTGTTTTCCTCTACTTTTCTGTTGCTGCTTATATATATATATATATGTGTGTTACTCCCTTCACACATCTTTTCCTCAATTCATGCATCCATAGAGGAGATAATGTATGTAGTATCACTTGCACACATACACACACATGTATGTATGTATGTATTCCAAGATATATAAAATAATTCCTTGTTTTTTTCTCTTCTGTGTTTTTTTTGTTGTTGCCCTATCTGTTCTTTGACAGTGAGACGAAGTTATGACAAATAGAGTAAATAATTTTTGTTATTATTACTTTATTATTATTGTTACTATTATTATTATTATTTTGCGTTTATTTTTCGACTTTAAAGATAAACACTTTCCTTCTGACTTTATTTGTATGTTTCCTTTCCCCCCATTTTCCCTCTCTCTCTCTCTCTCTTGATTGTCACAATCAATACAACTGATGGTATGTTACGTGACATTATGCCTACGTACACGTGAAATGAGAATTCTACGCGTCTCTATCTCTGGTGGTTTCAGCTGCAATTTTGTTTTTTCTAAATTTCCCATCAGCTCATTATTATTATTATTGTTTTTTTGTGATTTTTGTTTAATATACATGTATATTTATTTTTTAATGTTTTTACATCGGTGTAATAATAATTGGTTTTATTTCTCAATGTTTTTTTTTTGAAATTATTTTCTCACCTTCTTCTCATATTCAAAAAAGCGCTTTCTGTCTGTCTGTTGTTCGTTCATTGTATACTGTATACAGCTTGTATGTAAGTAATTGCCTCTCTCTCCCTGTCACTTGTCAATCAATCAATGAATCGATCAATTAATGTAAGTGAATACTCATCAACCTTTCCTTCTTCTTCTTCGTGTTCTTCTCAAAAAGCAAAAAAAACGAGACAAAAAATGACGTGCCAGCCAGAGTGTTTATATTTTTTATGAGTAGTTGTATAGGCTCCATACAGGTATGGATCCGTTTGACAGATTTTTCTTTAACTGATTATATACCCAAAATCAATTAGTTGGTATTTTTCCCCTATCTCTCTCCCTCTCTTATTCGGTTGACTCTGAGTTGTATGGAGATAAAAAAAAGAATACTAAAGTATTTCCGACTTATTTACTCTTTACTAACTGAGAACTCTTCAGTTGATTATCTTTAATGAAAATTGGTCAATCTGATTCTGATGATGATGTTACAGTGGTGTTACCTGTTATACTATAGAGCTGACAAGCTAGATAAATAAATACCTTATTTTGTAATTATTTTGTTTTTTTTTTTTGGAATGTATTCACACTTTAATAAAGCTAGATTCATTTTGACGAGCTCAGTTGCTTTTTTGTTGTTGCTGTGTTGTCGACTGACAAAACAACGTCTGAATATTTCTGCACGTGTGTGTGTATGTGCGCGCGCGCGGACGCTTGTGTTGTTGTTTTGCTCTTTTCTGTTTTAAAGGTCGAGAGCGGAAATATTCGACCTTCGTGTATATTTCAAATTTTAAGTCGATTCTTCTGTTTCTGATCACTTTTTTTAATGTTTTTTCAAGCACTCCCAATTCTCTCTCTCTCTTTCAAATTGGATTTCTTCCCGCCGCGTATTTAAGTTCACCTGTCTATTATGTGTGTGCTAATGATATAATAATGATTATTAGTATTATTATTCGCATCTCTTTGTCGATTGTGATTTTACTGCAGTTAATTATTATTATTTTTTTGGTTCTGCTTTCTGTTCTCATCTTGATCGGCATTATTATTATTGATTATTTACTTTCCATGACCCAGTCTTTCTATATCAAGAAGGCGGGATACAGTGCGTAAGAGACGACAGGCGGAGAGAGAGAGAGAGAAAGATAAAGTGCTGAAAGACTTTTGGTGTGTGTCTTCACTAGACTTACAACAATCATTATTACTAACTACTTCACACAAGTCATTAACTACAATCATATTTCTCTAATTTACAGGTGTTTTCTTTTTCTTCTCCGGCTTCTCTGTCCAACAGTCTGCACACACACGGGCACGCACAGACAAACGACTTTTGAGTAATTTGTTTCACTTTCAGTTTTTACACCTTTTTTTCTCTCTTTTCCTTTGCATAGATGCTCTCTGGTGTTGTCGTTTTATTACTATTACTGTGACAAATACTATTATATTACTATTATTATTAATATTATTACACCAGGTTATCGTTTTATTCAAAGATGTGAGATATAACTAAAAATCTATCGAATTGTCTTTCTTACTTCTTAGTTTATATATATATATATATATATATATATATATATAACACTTAGATGGTGGTAACGTGTTGTCAGTGAATAATGCACGTATACATTCTTAGCCATTCGACTAGGTTAGTGGAGTATAGACTGTTCTGATTGGTTGGCAATCCGGCCAAGGTGAAGCATGACTATCCAATAAGGTTATTTCATGACCACAACGTAAACTAGATCCAAATTTGAGAAATAGACACTTCTGCTTACTTGTTCTCGACAACTAATTGTCTTTTAGCATGTTGATTTCAATTTTGGCTGCTTCTTGTCTGTCTACATCTCATGCTACAGTTTCATCAATAGTAGACAAAGAGGTGAAGCTTATATTGTCGTCCTGTTTCAAGTTTACGAAATTAGCGTTTATTGCATAAACGAAGCGAAAATAAGAACGCAGACTACCTACCTCCGAATGAAATAGGTTTAAGTGCAAATATGTGTCACTCACTTTTCTTAAGGTTTTTTTAATGACCTAGACGATATGTATAACTGTTACTTCCCATACTCATTTCATTAAACCACTGAGGTTAGAAACTAGTTTTTTTATAATTAAAAACCATAGGGTTTTGTCATTATTTTACCATATACCAGTAAGTTTTTTCTGCCTGAATAAGTGAGACATTGTTTTCCTGTGTACCTATTATATCTGCTTGTCATTCAATTTGAATGGATTCTCATGAAATGAAG